GGAGTATATTATAGCAACAATCTTCTAAGGGTCTCCTTGACTTCAGTCTTACCCTCTTTAATCCTAGCTGGAGTGAGCTTTCTAAAGTAAAATTCTGATCCTGTTTGCAGCTTTTAAAAATCCTTCAGCCTGTGGGCGTTCTTTCCTCAGAGCCTTTGTACTTACTGTTCTCCTCTTGGAATCCTTCTCTGTGCAGCGCTCTCCCCCCAACTCCCATCCTCGTTCCCAGTCTTCTCAATTTGCTTATTTGTCACTGCCTTTGGGATATATTTCTTGGCCACCTATGATTGACTGCTCTTTATCCTACTGTTTGTTTATTTATTTCACATATGCTTACAGCCTCTCTCCCCTACACTCGACAAGTCTTTGATTTGTTTTTGTATGTAATTAATAAAACTTATGTAACATTTCAGACATAAACAAGTAATATTTTCACCACCCCACCCTATGCTGCCCCCATCACCCAAATTTAACAGTGAACACTTGCCAGTGTTGTTTCATTCCTCCCATACCTTGGCTTTTTTTTTTTTTTTTGGTGGAACTTTTCTTTTTCTTTTTTTTTTTTTGAGATAGGGTCTTACTCTAACACAGGCTGGAGTGTAGTGGCCAGAATATGGCTCACTGCAGCCTTGGCCTCGACCTCCCAGGTTTAAGTGATCCTTCCACCTCAGCCTCCTGAGTAGCTGGAGGTGTGCTACCACCCCGGCTAATTAAAAAAACAATTTTGTAGAGATAGGGGCTCTCTGTGTTGTCCAGGCTGGTCTTGAACTCCTGGACTCAAGTGATCCTCCTGCCTTGGCCCCCCAAAATCCTGGGATTACAGAGGTGAACCACTGTGCTCAGCCTGGTGGGCCATTTTAAAGCAAATTCCCAAATGTCATTTATCCTGTATATTCTTTTGAAGGACAGAGACAGTGTCTTGTTCTGTCTTCTACGCCTCAGCCTCCTGAGGGGGGAAGGGATTACAGGCCCCCGCCACCATACCCAGCCATTTTTGTATTTTTAGTAGAGACGGAGTTTCACCATGTTGGTCAGGCTGGTCTCGAACTCCTGACCTCAAGTGATCCTCCCCCCGCTCGACCTCCCAAAGTGCTGGGAATACAGGCATGAGCCACCACACCCGGCCACTTTTTGTCATATTTTAGAGTGTACTCCTACTTAAATAAAAAAATCTTCTGCCTCAGCTTCCCAAAATGTTGGGATTACAGGGATGAGCCACTGCACCTGGCCTCGCTTTCTGTTGGATCATTTTCATCAGCACACAGCTCAAAACTTCACCCTTGGCCAGGTGTGGTGGCTCACGCCTGTAATCCCAGCACTTTGGGAGGCCAAGGTGGGTAGATCACAAGGTCAGGAGTTCAAGACCAGCCTGGCCAAGGTGGTGAAACCCTGTCTCTACTAAAAATACAAAAATTAACGGGGTGCAGTGGCAGGCATCTATAATCCTGTATTCCCAGTACTCAGGAGGCTGAGTCAGGAGAATGGCTTGAACTCAGGGGGTGGAGGTCGCAGTGAGCCGAGATGGTGCCTCTGCACTCCAGCCTGGGCAACAGAGTAAAACTCCGTCTCAAAAAGAAAAAAAAAAAAAATCACCCTCTAGGGCCGGGTGCAGTGACTCATATCTGTAATCCCAGCACTTTGGGAGGCTGAGATGGGTAGATCATTTGAGGCCAGGAGTTCGAGACCAGCCTGACCAACATGGTGAAATCTCATCTCTACTAAAAATACAAAAATTAGCTGGGTGTGGTGGCACAAACCTGTAATCCCAGCTACTCAGGAGGCTGAGGCAGGATAATTGCTTGAGTCTGGGAGGCAGACATTGCAGTGAGCCGAGATTGCGCCTGTGAGCTCTGGCCTGGGCAACAGAGGGAGACTTTGTCTCAAAAAACAAATCACCCTCTAGCTACTGCCCCATTTGCCATTTGTGTACTTCCTTTTATGGCAAAAACTCCTTAAAAGTGCTATCTGTACTTTTTGTCTCTCATTCTTTTAGCATTACTTTGAAATAACTGAAAATTTACAGAAAAGTTGGAACAATATTTGAAAGAATTTCAATATATACTCTTCTCTTAGAGTCTCCTTTTTTTTTTTTTTTTTTTTTTTTGAGGAGTCTCAGCTCACTGCAACCTCCGCCTCCCGGGTTCAAACGATTCTCCTGCCTTAGCCTCCCAAGTAGTTGGGATTACAGGCCTGTGCCACACACCCTAGTAATTTTTGTATTTTTAGTAGAGACTGGATTTTGCTCTGTTGGCCAGGCTGGTCTTGAACTCTTGACCTCAAGTGATCCACCCGCGTTGGCCTCTCAAAGTGCTGGGATTACAGGCCTGAGCCACCACGCCTGGCCGGATTTCCTGGTTTTTAAATGCATATTTATGTTATCATTCTGATAATGACAGATCTCCTAAACTATCATTGTGAGAATAACATAAATGCACATTTAAAAATTGGAGAATTCTAGGTGAAGAGGACACAGGAATTCTGTCAAATATTTTTTCTGGGTCAATTTAGGAGTAAGTTGCAGATATGATGTCCTTTTACTTTGACATATTTTAGTGTGTATTTCCTTTAAAACAAGGACATTCTCTTTTTTTTTTGAGACGGAGTCTCGCTCTGTCACCCAGGCTGGAGTGCAGTGGCCGGATCTCAGCTCACTGCAAGCTCCGCCTCCCG